TTCTCCGACCACAGTGCAAGGGTCCTCGAATAATAAGCACCCAACCCGTTGGCACTCCTATTACGAACCAACATTAAAAATTCCTAATGACAAACTCAAGCGACCACCTTGCTTGTACCACGGACAACATTTGCGAAGGAGCCCGCATGGAAACCCAATCCGACCCTAACCATTACAAGCCAACATTAAAAGAAGAAAAAGAAAAGGACAATAAAGAGAACGAGATCCTATCGCAAAAAACTTTCTAATGAAAACTCAAGCCGCGGGCAACCCTGCGAAGGACCTTAAAAGAAGAACTTGGGATTGCGACGGGACGGGTCCCGGAGCATCCCGATCTCGTCCCCGACCTTCAACCCTCCCCCCTCGACAAACAGCTTGCACCAGCCCCTTGTTAAACCTTTGATGAAGCACTAAATTCATTCCACTCTTTTCATATATCTTGACAAATAGTTTGCTTATTTTTCTTTCGTCCACATCAACCGCCGTGACTCAATGGGGGGTGATCGAGAATTTGAGCTTAGGGCAGGAGGTACAGAGCATTCCATATCAAAGACAAAGCTGGGCGGAAACCTTCCCCGGATTCTCCAGATCCCGACCACGTGGGGCTGGCCGGTTCGCCCTTCGTATGATTGAAGACGGGCAACGTCAAAAGAAGCTTTTGTCACTGCCGTGGAATAATAATTGTCTCGTCATGCACTGAGTTTGCCCTATGTTTTGCATGCGACAAGTGGAACGGGTTATCTCGCTTTCATCGATTGTGCTTCAAGGGGAAAAAGAATGATGATGCTTTGAAAAGGTAAGCGGCGCCCAAGAAAAACAAGAATCTGAGCATTGCAGCAAATCAGAACTTGAAAAGGTGCACCGTCTGATGACCAAATAATTCGGGATTAATATCACGAAAATCTTAAATTTATATATTTATGATAATTTTATTTCGAATTATTTTTTTTATCACAAAATATTTCAAACTGGTATATCTGTGATAAATTTATCCCGAACTATTTTTTTTACCACCAAAAATCCCAAACTTGTACATTTGTAATAATTTTACCCAAAACTAATTTTTTTATCACCAAAAACCCCAAACTAATACACATGTGATAATTTTATCACGAACTAATTTTTTGACCACTAAAACCCCAAACTGGTACATTTGTGCTGATTTATTTTTTTGATCAAAATTGTATTAATTTAATCCTAAACATTTTGACAATTTCTCAATTTAACCCTTCCGGCCAATTTTGGTCGGAAACCATTGATGTGGATGCCGGCCTCCTACGTGACATTGCCGGTATTGATGTGAACAATTTTTATAACTTTTTTTAAAAAAATTATGATTTTTTTCTTTCTTTTTTACCACTAGCCGAGGCTCGGCAACCCCTGCTGGCCCATGGGCGAGGGCCACAACGCCCTCGCTGTGTTTGGCGAGGGTGTCAGCGAGGGTGTCGCGGCTCTTGCCCAAGTTCCTATGGGAAAAAAATGGAAAAAAGAAAGAAAGAAAATAAAATGAAATAAATCAAAAAAATTATGAAAAAGCTTATAAAAATTATTCGCGTAAGCGCCGGCCATGCCATGTCAATGTGAGCATTATCCGAAACCACAACCGGAGAATAGTTTGGATTCGGACTAGCCTTCAAGATCTTTGACTCCGGCCACCCCAATCACCTCTGGTAGAAATGCATGAGGCCTATTGAACTGGCTCGGCGTGAGGACTGCATCCGACTTAGAATTACTAGCCGAAAGTGTCCCGACCTAAGCACGACTGGCCCTACAACACCAACTTCTTGAAGTGTATCGCTCTATTGATAGCATCATAAGGCGAATCACGGTCATGTTATCGATGCTACGAGGTATCGGCAAAGATTGCAGCTCCCAAACAACATTCACAAGATCACCCGTAGTCGAAAACGACCTTATTCTCGAGAAATTATTTAGCGAAAACTAATCGTTAACCATTGATAACAAAACTGGTCCGCATCTGTTGCGACCTACCCTTCAAGGGTCGTACCCTCTCGGATGGGTTTAGAGGTAATTGTTTATGAGGCGGTTCAAATGGTATGTACAAGTAACGGCCTTGATAACACCACAAGCGGGCCATTGATAAAAAACGTTGACTCTCCCTAAGCCCATACCTCGCGTGACACGGGATCATTTTTAAGTTCTTAAACCTATATGGTTCGGGGACTGAATTGAACATGTACCAAAAGTTCGAGGACCATATTGAACATTGGCTTAAAGTTCATTGACTACATTGAACAAATTAAAAGTTCAGGGACCAAATTACACATTAGGCCAAAGTTAAGAGAGTGTTTGTGTCATTTTCCTAACTTAAAATCAACAAAAGAAAGCGTCACTTATGGACCACGCATTAGGCGAAATTTCACAAGTGTCCACCCACCCGCACGTCACCGGACCTTCCTCGCCATCCCGCGTAAAACGGTCGCCACCCATCCCCATCGAACGGCAACTAGATACATGAAAATACAGGGACGCGGCAAGGCAAAAACAACTGGGGGCAGATACGGTTTTGTTAACACCGGGACTAGAACAAAAGAAATTAAGCTCGACAATCAGTGAAAGATCATTATAGTGGGATGCTTGTCAACACGAGTTCGAACTCATCCACGACCAGAAAAAAATAAAAATAAATAAAATACGACCTCGGTTCAGGCTTATCATCGAACGCATGGCGAGCAAGGATAGAGGAGGAGTTGGTGGCCGATCTAGGACCGGAACTCACACATAGGACCCAACAGGAATCACCAAGAAATGTTCGACGTCAATGGAAACGATTTAGTGGACACCAACACGCGTATGAACTAGAAATTGCAAGCCTCGGTCTCACGGTTCGGCCAAAACAGGACGAGGAAAAAGGGGTCACGGGAATGAGTGTTGACCGCGAAAATCCCTACCCCGCTCGGTGGCGGAGGTTAGAGGGCGAGTTTGAGATGAGTCGAACTATGGCCGACTGCCTCATACACGATGTCTCCGAGCCAAAATCCTCGGGAAAAAGGGACTCGAACCGAACGGTTGAACGGACTCACCGGAAATGTCGGGATCCGGGAGTGAAAAGCCGCGAGAAGGACGCTGTCAGCCGGAGGTCGTCGGACAGCGACGGTGGTGTTGACTGGTCGGGCGAGGTGAAGGACGTGGGGTCTGCGAGATCGAGCGAGAGCGAGGTGAAGATCCCCCCTGTTTTCTTCTTTCTTTAGCCGCCAGCGCCCTTTTTTTTTTTGGTTCTTCCAAAACAAAATAACCTAGTACACGCTGTGCCAGGTGACGGGATCTCAAAGGGGGTGTGCTTTAAGTAATTCACATCCTACGGTGCCAGTGTCGTGCTCCAAACGCTCGATCGGCTCTTGTGATTGAAATTTCTTTAATCAGATTCGAGATATTTATCCCTCAATCAAATGTCTAAAATAATATTAAAAACTAACAAAATAGTAATAATTTTTATTTTTTTAAAAAAATGTGAAATCCAAGGCCTAATTCTGCACTCCTTTGCTAAATTGACATTTATTACACAATTGAGATATTAACGACACCAATCTAATTTTTGGATCAATAAAAGAAACTCGATGTGATCAGGAATTACGAATCTCTAAGTTTCCAACCTTGACCGTTTGGAAAATTCAGGTGTCACCAGCGTCGATATTAAGAGGGTAATGTATATGTTGTATTCAAAATATTTTTCACGTAGGACGATTAACGTTCACGTTAACGATTTTTTTAAATCGTAGGATCTAACAACATTGGTATACAAATCTTTTCCTCACAAAATCAGCATGTGTACTGCTGACAGTGGGGTAGTCATTAAGCATTATTTAATTATTAAAAGAATTCCACTTTTTTCTAGAAGGCTGGGCGAAATCCTCCTCGCGATCCGAAACCGGCCTTGTCCTTATATGTCAGGTCGCAATGGGGTTGGTGTCCATGGGCCGTACACGCGGGGGAAGGGGGGCAGGGAGGGCGAGGGCGGAGGCAGTGGGGCCCTTAAAATCTCTTTCTCCTCGACTTTCCCGATACAGCTTTCCTGATATCCTACGTACAAGGATCTATCCATAAGATATCTCCGTATTTCTTTTTTGAAGGCCCTCGGCTTCGGCCTCGGCCGGTTACCGATGGATAGGCATGTATAGTAACCTTTCGCTTCGAAGGTGACATGAAGGAGCTTCGGCTCCTGTCGAGTTGGCCCGTACTTTCGCACAACGTCCGGTAACAGACGCGAGCGAGCCGTTTGATTAAAGAGGAGCAACGTTAAAGAAGCTTTTATTATGGAATGATCATTGTCTCGTTGTGGTGCACTGCGTTGAAACCGAAAAAGAAAAAACTTATCACTTTGTGGGAAGAACAAGATAAACTCCAAAGCTCAAAATCATGTTATTGTTTTGACATTCCCCACCCGTTTACACGCCTATCACAGACCAACATTAAAAAAAGAAAAAAGAAAAATAAAGAGAACAAAATCTTATGGCGAAAACTTTCTAATAAAAAAACACTTTCTAATCGTATGTGGGTCCTCACGTAGCCCCACGGGATCAGGAGCCGCAACGAGTGCCCGAGGTCGCTTTCGGTCAGCTTCTTCCTGATATTAAGGGGACAATGTATGTGCTGTATTCAAAACCTTTTTCATGGTGAACGATCGGTGTTCACGTCAACGATTTTCGATCAATCGTGGAATCTCGCAAAATCGGTGGACAAACAAATTATTTCCTCACAAAATCGCATGCAAAATACATAGACTGCCATACAACATGTGGCCAAAAAAGGGAAAAAAAAAAAAGAAAGAAAAAATCGATACTTGATCGATTCGACGTCGAAATAGTCAATATTCGAACCGCCGACAAATACACACCAGATCCTAGGTTTTACGCACGGCCGCCGCTGACAGTGGGGCAGTCACTAAGCATTATTTAATTAAAAGAAGGAGAAGAAAGCCCGGATCATCATCCCCATCCGAAAGCTGCTTGTCTTTATATGTCATGTTATTGCCTCGCCTTTCACCGGTCGTGGCGAGCAACCCTGCGAAGGACCTTAAAGTGGAACTTGAGAGAGACCGGGTCCCAGAGCATCCCGATCTCGTCCCCGACCTTCAACCCTCGCCCCCTGACGAACAGCTTGTTCCAGCCCTTGTTCAGCACGTAGCTCCTCGACGACGCCCAGTAGCGGAACACGAGCCGGTACTCGTCGCCCGTGTCCGCGTCCCTCACGGCGACCTGCATCCCGTCCTTGCCCTTGACCCGCCTCACCATCTCCTCGCCCATCTGCGGGAGCACGTGGGTCCTCACACAGCCCTGCGGGATCAGGAGCCGCGACGAGTGCCCGAGGTCGCTTTCCGTCAGCTTCTTCTTGATCTTCCACGGGTCCGGGTAGAGCTCCAACTCCGTGGAGACGCCAGCACGGTACATCTCTTCTCCCTCGCGTTCGTTTCGGAACAGGTCTCTCATTCTTGTTCGGGACGACCCTACGCGATGATCTCTCTTCCTCTCTGCACAAACAATGGGGGTTTCGTCAGAGTCGACGACTCCGGAGTTCTCAGAATTATGGACTAGTATAAACCGTGGAGGGGTCGCCATAGGATGGCTTTCGGATATTTCAACTGAATGAACTGTGTTTACTTACTTGTTAGCCTGAAATGCGGAAGAAGACCAACTTTACGGCTGTTTCTTTCGACGTCCTCTTGAACTTGCTTCCGGTATTCACCAAAAGTGAATCTTTCTGTCGACGGAGGGCTCTCTGCAACTCCCGATCTGAGATTGATCCTATCATTGCCACAGCTGTGGTGGGAGGGTGGTGGTATTTATATTAAGCGGAGAGGAGAGGAGAGGGGAGGGGAGGGGAGACAGAGAGAGTGCAACCTGGCAGACTGAAGCACATGAGAAACAAAAAGCAGGGGTGTTCCTGTCTCCCTGTGAAAGGGATAGAAAGTAGAAAGTAGAAAGGGTAGGGACTGAATGTCGATGATTGACGAGCTCCAAATAGTACGGATCGAACCGTACCTAATCAAACGAGATCTGCAGCTTTTTCCAGTTGCGATAACCATTAAGTCAAAAAAAGAATCTTGTTAATAAAGTAATATTAATTGTGGATGACAAGAAGCTTTTTCTCAATAAACTATTGCTTTTGAACTCCGATGACACGTCAATTCATGCTTCGGGAGATCTTGACGTTGGCCGTCGGTACTTTGTAGGACCACATGCAAACCCACGTGCTTTCTTGGGCGCTTTCAAGTAGACAGGTTTCCTCTTTTGGAAAACTCATGACTTCTACTATCACGCTACTGCTAAATGAGTCAGCTGTTCAATTTAGTTACTAGTGGGTTTTGAAATGAATAGGCACCAGAGATCCTCATTCAACTTTTTTTATTTATGCAATATCATCAATGGAACTTTTTTTGTAATGTCGAGTTGGTAAATTTAAAGCGTTGCTAAGAAAGATAAAAATTTTGCAAACAATATGAAAAGTTGGTGTATTAAAAAAACAAAAAAGATGTTGATGAGTACTCCGAATGAGGGTTGATAACCCAAAACTAGATAGTAACAGAATGACGTAGTAATATCTAAACTAAAAATGAGGTTTGATAACATAAAATTAGAACTGTTGATGACTCATGCTAACTTGGGCCGGTGATCTATGAAAGGACTTAGTAAATTTAAGGTATAGCTGATCAAGGAAAAAAAGTTAATAACTAAATAGACAATTTAGTCAATTAAAAATGAACGATTAAATGTTGGCAACTCAACTTAAAGTTGGTAATTCAAAACAAGTTGATAATTTAATTGACAAAAGTTGGTAAGTTACTCTAATTTAGGTTGAAAATTTCATGTTAGAATTAGTAAACTCGAAATGTTAGTGAGCCATGCAAATAAAAGACCAAGTTAGTACAAAAATCGGTAATTTGCAAACTATGAAAGTAATGGTACTTTTATAAGAATATTGATAAATTACCAACATATTACGTAGAAAAAGAAGTCACGGTTCTTCTTTTTTTTTTAATCAGCAGATTTTTTACGGTTACCAATGCCAAAAAGCCTCTTGTTGCCGTTTTAATTGTAGAAAATTGAAGTAGATATGATATTAGTTATAAAGTCCACAAGGCATATATGAGAGATCCGGTACATGAAAGATCTAAGAGGTTCTTCCAATGTAACTTGGCCATAAAATTAAGATACATTCTGGAACAATAAAATCGTTCATATTTGGCATCCGAAACAGTTTTTACAGAAACAATAATGAACAGAAATGTGACTTTCAAATTGTCATGTAATGCAATAACCATTTAAATCAATTTCCTAAAGCGAATTAATTTTGCAAAGTTTTTCCTTCCTTTTCATATAAAAAAACGTTTGCTTTTTTTTTCTTAACACGAGTGTGGTATTTCACTGGTCATCCAAATGGAAATCCTTTTTAAAAATGAAAAACCTTCAACAATAAGCACAAAAACTGACCGACCTAAAGGTTCTCACCAGGTTTCTCCTTTGCATTTATATCGTAGTATAGATTAATAATCTAGAAGTTGCTTAAATAAATTGGGTTGGGGTGGATGGTCGACACCGGCAATAACAAATTTCTGGAGATCATACATTACTGACAATAGGCAGTCTTAGACGTAAGGGGAAAACTCTTCAACTTAAAAAAGAAAACAGTCGTGTGATAAGGCACGGGAGCCAACTAAGACGGACCAAATTTGGTCCGACTAGGATGAGATGCGACGACATACACCCCATCATCTAGTTTCGCGATCACAATCTCCACGACGCCATAGGGTGCAATCGAAATGGACTTTCGGGTCAGGGCACGATTTGTGTCGAGCGCACCCTTTAACCGCCCGTCTCCGAGCTGGGTAGGAGTCTACGATTAACCATCCACTGGTTAAACGATTACGGTTTCAGTTAAAATCCTTGTTATTGAACTCATATCAGCATATCTTCCCCATCACGCCTGATCGGAAGCTTTCCTTGGACATGAAGGAACTCGGTTCATTTCGAAAAAAAAAACAGAAAACAAAAAGAAGAAGATGAAGAAGAAGAAGAAGGTAGGCCGGTTCTCGTATCGATTCTGGAATTGATCGTTTCGTTTCCAGACTGATTTTAGGGTCGATCGATTCGGTTCCCTTTCTAAAAATCAGGAACCAGTTCTGACATGGTAGGTTCTAGGTTCCAAATTAATAATCTACCCACTCTGAAACCGATCATATCTATTTAAAAAATTAGGAAAAATTGTCTAAAGAGTCTTAAACCTATTATACGACATCCAGTTTAGTCTTAAACCTTTTAATTGTACCGATTTTTTTTTGTCAAAATTGTGCCAATTTTGTCCTAAATATTTTGACGATTTATCAATTTAACCCTTTCAGCCAATTTTGATCGGAAATCACTGATGTGGATGCCAACCTCCCAGGTGACATGACCACGCGAAAATCTAGATTTTATACATGCGTGCTGCTGACGGTGGGGTAGTCATTAAGCATATTCAATTAAAAGAAATCTATTTTTACAAGAAAGCGGGGCCGATCGTCCCTCGCGACCACCTCCATCCCATCCTTATTATTGGAGAGTGGAGGGGACAGTGACAGAGATGGAACAAGGGATCCGAATATTGAATCAAGTCCGATTGTTGTTTGGACTCGGGTACTAATCCTGGTGCGATAAATAGAATCGATTGCGCCATACCCAAGAACGAGCGGCTGAAGTTCGTGTTATACTTTCGTGTTCGATTGACTCAATACATAAATCAGCTTTCGCTTTTCGTGGATAGCAATTGGCTCGGCGCTTTCTTTTTCCTCCCATAAAAGAGAAAAAGCATCTGCTAACACCATCCTTTGATGTCCTTTTATCAAGGTTAATAGTGCATGCCAAGAAGCTTTTCTCAATAAACTTTAGCTTTGGACATGGAATGCCAACCACTCTCTGATTTCCTCTGTAAAGTTGATCAAAATTAGAAGTGTTATTTCTTTTTCAGGAGAGACGGCACGAAATTAGAAGTGTGGAAATCCCATAGATTTCACGTCGCAGATCGTCGAGAGTGATCGAACTAGGGTCACACAAAATCAAGTTGTGAAGTGCGCGCTTTAACACAAAGTATTTCCTAATTGGGCTTAGATTAGGAAAAAAGGATCAAAGATAGTGCAATGAGTGCGCATGTGTGTGTGATAAGACTTTATGTTTCCTAGAATATGACAAAAGTTATTAATCCACGCGGTTTTCTAGTATTTCTTAAGAAAACTTATTCAATTTGAATGAAAAGTGTGGAATCCCTAGGATTAACTCCCTCTTTTGGATTAATTTGAAGTATACGTCCAGTGTAATCTATCTATTGTGCTATCCATGTTCACTAACAGGTTTTTTGGTGCGTTCTTTCGATTATGTTCTTTTGATTATTATATTTTGTCAATGTGGATTGTTTGCTTGGGTTATTTTTGTTGGAATCGGCGTGCGATTCCCAATGCCATATGCACAGTCGGTCTGAAAAAAATAAAATAAGAATTGGCTCCGACTTATGGACAATTACCTTAACTTGAAGTATGCCGCCAGAGGTAGGAGATGCCACAAAAGATTTGGGATTTAAACCTTTGATGAAGCACTAAATTCATTCCATTCTTGTCATATATCTTGACAAATAGTTTGCTTATTTTTCTTTCGTCCACATCAACCGCCGTGACTCAATGGGGGGTGATCGAGAATTTGAGCTTAGGGCAGGAGGTACAGAACTTGCCATATCAAAGACAAAGCGGCGCGGAAACCTTCCCCAGATTCTCCAGATCACGACCATGTGGGGCCAGATTCTCCATATCAAGGACCGGTTCGCCCTTCGTATGACCGAAGACGAGCAACGCCAAAAAAGGCTTTCGTCGCTGTCGTGGAATAATCATTGTCCGTACGGTTGTTAGTTTTTTTTTTTTTTTGGTCTTAATACGGTTGTTAGTTGACGTGGGGGCTTCGGTCATCTCGCTTTCATCGATTGGGGAAAAAGAATGATGATCCTTTGAAAAGGTGAGTGGCGCCCAAGAATCTGAGCATTGCAGCAAATCAGAACTTGAAAAGGTGCACCGCTTGATGACCAAATAATTTTTTTTTTGGTAAGGAAATATTTTTCAAATCAAATGACCAAATAATTCATGACTAATATAACGAAAAATTCTATATTAATATGTTTATGACGATTTTATTTCAAATTATTTTTTTGATCACAAAAAACTTTAAATTCGTATATTTATATCAAATTTACTACGAACTATTTTTTTTATCATTAAAAATCTCAAACTGATACGCTTGTAACAATTTTACCAAAAACTAATTTTTTGATCACCAAAAACCCCAAACTAATACACATGTGATAATTTTATCCTAAACTAATTTTTTGATCACTAAAAATTCCAAACTGGTACATTTGTACGGATTTATTTTTTTGATCGAAATTGTATTAATTTAATCCTAAACATTTTGACAATTTCTGAATTTAACCCTTCTAGCCAATTTTGGTCGGAAACCACCGATGTGGATGCCGGCCTCCTACATGACATTACCGGTATTGACGTGAACAATTTTTATAACTTTTTTAAAAAAAAATTATGATTTTTTTCTTTCTTGTTTTCCACTAGCCGAGGCTCGGCAACCCCCGCTGGCCCATGGGCGAGGGCCACGACGCCCTCGCTGTGGTCGGCGAGGGTGTCACGGCTCTCGCCCAAGTTCGGCGAAGGTCACCGATCCCTTGAAAGAAATGGACAAAAGAAAGAAAGAAAATAAAATGAAATAAATAAAAAAATTATGAAAAAGCTTACAAAAATTGTTCGCGTCAACGCCGGCCATGCCATGTCAATGTGAGCATTATCTGAAACCACAACCGGAGAATAGTTTGGATTCAGACTAGCCTTCAAGATCTTTGACTCCGGCCACCCCAATCACCTCCAATGGAAATGCATGAGGCCTATTGAACTGGCTCATCCTGAGGACCACATCCGACTTAGAATTACTAACCGAAAGTGTCTTGACCCAAGCACAACTGACCCTACAGCACCAATTTCTTGAAGTGTATCGATCCATCGATAGCATCATAAGGTGAATCACGGTCATGTTATCGATGCTACGACGTATCGGCGAAGATCGCAAACAACATTCACAAGATCGCCTGCAGTCGAAAAACGACATTAGTATCGAGAAACTATTCAGCAAAAACCAATCGTTAATCATCGATAACAAAATTGGTCCGCGTCGATATTAAGGGTACAATGTATGTCTTGTATTCCAAACCTTTTATGCAAAAACATAAACTACCATATAACATGTGGCCAAAAAAAAAAAAACAAAAAGAAGAAGAAAAAATTAAAAGTTGATCGAATCAACGTCGAAAATAGTTTTGACCAAAAAAGCTGTTCGCTTTGTCGTAATCGGGTTGGTTTCAATCGGGTTGGTCCCAGAGCAAGCTGTTCGCTTTCCGTCCCTGCTATACTTCACGCTTTTGGTTTCATGACTAAAGAGGACCAACATTAAAGAAGCTCAACTTACCACTTTGTGGGGGAAGAACAAGATAAAGTCCAAAGCTCAAAATCATGTTATTGTTTTGACTTTCTCCGACCACAGTGCAAGGGTCTCGAATAATAAGCACCCACCCGTTGGCACTCCTATCACAAACCAACATTAAAAATTCCTAATGCCAAACTCAAGCGACCACCTTGCTTGTACCACGGACAACATTTGCGAAGGAGCCCGCATGGAAACCCAATCCGACCCTAGCCATTAGAAGCCAACATTAAAAGAAAGAAAAGAAAAGAACAATAAAGAGAACAAGATCCTGTCGCAAAAAACTTTCTAATGAAAACTTAAGTCGCGGGCAATCCTGCGAAGGACCTTAAAAGAAGAACTTGGGATTGCGACGGGACTGGTCCCGGAGCATCCCGATCTGGACCTTCAACCCTCGCCCCTTGACGAACAGCTTGCACCAGCCCCTGTTCAGCACGTAGCTCCTCGACGTCGCTTTCCATCCTTGCTCTTGACCCGCCTCACCATCTCCAGCGCCCTTTTCTTTTCGTTCTTCCGAAAACAAAATAACCGAGTTCCATCTAGGGTTTCGCGTAGCTGCCCCCAGTGGCGGGGATCTCAAGGGGGGTGAGCTTTAAGTAATTCACATCCTACGGTGCCGGTTGTCATGCTCCAAACGCTCGATCGGCTCTTGCGATTGAAATTTCTTTAATTAGATTCGAGGTACTTATCCCTAAATCAAATGTCTAAAATAATATAAAAAACTAACAAAATAGTAATAATTTTTTCTTCTTTTTTTTTTTGAGAATGTGAAATCCAAGGCCTAATTCTGCAGGCCTATGCTAAATTGACATTTATTACACAATTGAGATATTAACAATACCAATCTAATTTTTGGATCAATAAAAGGAACTCGCCGTGATCAGGAATTACGAATCTCGAATTTTCTAACCTTGACTATATGGAAAATTCAGGTGTCACCAGCATTGATATTAAGAGGACAATATATGTGTTGTATTCAAAATATTTTCCATATAAAACGATGGATGTCTGCGTTAACGATTTTCGACTAACGTGGAATCTAACAAAATTGGTGGACAAATTTTTTCCTCAAAAAATCGGCATGCGTACTGCTGACGATGGGGCAGTCATTAAGCATTATTTAATTATTAAAAGAATTCTACTTTTTTCTAGAAGAATCCTCCTCGCAAACATCCTCCGTATCCGAAAGCGGCCTTTGTCCTTGTATGTCAGGTGGCAATGGGGTTGGTATCCATGGGTCGTACACGCGGGGGAAGGGGGGCAAGAGGGGGAGGTAGGGGGGCCCTTAAAATCGCTTTCTCCTCTACTTTCCCGACACAGCCCTCATGAAATCCTACGTACAAGGATCGATCCATAAGTTATTTCCGTATTTCTCTTTTGAAGGCCCTCGGCTTCGGCCGGTTATTGACGGGTAGGCACGTATAGTAACCTTTCGCTCCTAAGGTGTCATGAAGGAGCTTCGGCTCTTGCCGAGTTGGCCCGTATTTTCGCACAGCGTCCGGTAACCAACGCGAGCGAGAAGTTTGATTAAAAAGGAGCAGCGTTAGAGAAGCTGTTATCATGGAATGATCATTGTCCTCGCTGTGCACTGCGTTGAAATCCAAAAAGAAAAAAATTTCCACTTTGTGGGAAGAACAAGAAAAACTCCAAAGTTCGGGGCCTCAAATAATCCCCAACACAATGAACAGTTTATATTTCTGACCAAACAAATAATAACAATAAGCCCCAACCGTTCGACCAAAAAAATAAAAAAAATAAAAAATACGCCCCAACCGTTTACACGCCTATCACAAACCAACACTAAAAAAGAGAAAAGAAAAATAAAGAGAACAAAATCTTATGGCGAAAATTTCTAATGAAGAAAACCTTGCGAAGAAGTCCCATGGAAACCAATCCCACCCTACCCATTACAAACCAACATTAAAAGAAGAAAAAGAGAAGAAAAATAAAGAGAACAAGATCCTACCGCAAAAAATTTCTAATGAGAACTCAAGCCGCCGCATCGCTCGTGCCTCAAGCAACCCTGCGAAGGACCTTAAAGTGGAACTTGAGAGAGACCGGGTCCCAGAGAATCCCGATCTCGTCCCCGACCTTCAACCCTCGCCCCTTGACGAACAGCTTGCTCCAGCCCTTGTTCAGCACGTAGCTCCTCGACGACGCCCAGTAGCGAAACGCGAGCCGGTACTCGTCGCCTGTGTCCGCGTCCCTCACGGCGACCTCCATCCCGTCCTTGCTCTCGACCCGCCTCACCATCTCCTCGCCCATCTGCGGGAACACGTGGGTCCTCACGCAGCCCTGCGGGATCAGGAGCCGCGACGAGTGCCCGAGGTCGCTTTCCGTCAACTTCTTCTTGATCTTCCACGGGTCCGGGTAGAGCTCCAACTCTGTGGAGACGCCAGCACGGTACATCTCTTCTCCCTCGCGTTCGTCTCGGAACAGGTCTCTCATTCTTGTTCGGGACGACCCTACGCGATGATCTCTCTTCCTCTCTGCACAAACAATGGGGGTTTCGTCAGAGTCGGCGACCCCGGAGTTCTCAGAATTATGGATTAGTATAAACCATGGAGGGGTAGCCATAGGATGGCTTTCGGATATTTCAATTGAATGAACTGTGTTTACTTACTTGTTAGCCTGAAATGCGGAAGAAGACCAACCAACTTTACGGCCGGTTCTTTCGACGTCCTCTTGAACTTGCTTCTGGTATTCACCAAAAGTGAACCCTTCAGTCGACGGAGGGCTCTCTGCAACTCCCGATCTGAGATTGATCCTATCATTGCCACAGCTATGGTGGGAGAGTACTCGTTTTTATAGCCGAGACGGGAGGGGAGGGGAGGAGAGACAGAGGGAGTGCAAGTCGTCGAGTCTGAAGCGCATGAGAAACAAAAAGCGGTGGTGTTCCTGTCTCCCTGGGAAAGGGAAAGAGAGTAGAAAGAAGAAAGGGTAGAGAGAGAATGACGAGCTCCAAATCGCACCGGAAGCTTCCCTGGTAAAACGAGCTCTGCAGCTTTTTCCCGTTGCGATAACTATTAGTTGTGGATTTTTTTTCTTAATAAACTATTGCTTTTGAACTCCGATAACACGTCAATTCATGCTTCGGGAGGTCTTGACGTTGGCCGTCGGTACTTTGTAGGACCACATGCAAACTCACGTGCTTTCTTGGGCGCTTTCAAGTCGACAGGTTTCCTCTTTTGGAAAACTCATGACTTCTACTATAACGCTACTGCTAAATGAGTTAGCTGTTCAATTTAGTTACTAGCGGGTTTTGAAATGAATAGGCACCAGAGATCCTCATTCAACTTTTTTTATTTATGCAATATCATCAATGGAACTTTTTTTGTAATGTCGAGTTGGTAAATTTAAAGCGTTGCTAAGAAAGATAAAAATTTTGCAAACAATATGAAAAGTTGGTGTATTAAAAAAACAAAAAAGATGTTGATGAGTACTCCGAATGAGGGTTGATAACCCAAAACTAGATAGTAACAGAATGACGTAGTAATATCTAAACTAAAAATGAGGTTTGATAACATAAAATTAGAACTGTTGATGACTCATGCTAACTTGGGCCGGTGATCTATGAAAGGACTTAGTAAATTTAAGGTATAGCTGATCAAGGAAAAAAAGTTAATAACTAAATAGACAATTTAGTCAATTAAAAATGAACGATTAAATGTTGGCAACTCAACTTAAAGTTGGTAATTCAAAACAAGTTGATAATTTAATTGACAAAAGTTGGTAAGTTACTCTAATTTAGGTTGAAAATTTCATGTTAGAATTAGTAAACTCGAAATGTTAGTGAGCCATGCAAATAAAAGACCAAGTTAGTACAAAAATCGGTAATTTGCAAACTATGAAAGAATTGGTACTTTTATAAGAATCTTGATAAATTACCAACATATTACGTAGAAAAAGAAGTCACGGTTCTTCTTTTTTTTTTAATCAGCAGATTTTTTACGGTTACCAATGCCAAAAAGCCTCTTGTTGCCGTTTTAATTGTAGAAAATTGAAGTAGATACGATATTAGTTATAAAGTCCATAAGGCATATATGAGAGATCCGGTACATGAAAGATCTAAGAGGTTCTTCCAATGTAACTTGGCCATAAAATTAAGATACATTCTGGAACAATAAAATCGTTCATATTTGGCATCCGAAACAGTTTTTACAGAAACAATAATGAACAGAAATGTGACTTTCAAATTGTCATGTAATGCAATAACCATTTAAATCAATTTCCTAAAGCGAATTAATTTTGCAAAGTTTTTCCTTCCTTTTCATACAAAAAAACTTTTGCTTTTTTTTTCTTAACACGAGTGTAGTATTTCACTGGTCATTCAAATGGAAATCCGTTTTAAAAATGAAAAGCCTTAAACAATAAGCACAAAAACTGACCGACCTTAACCACCCGCCTGGGTGGCGCTGCTGGAGCGCGCACTCTTCCTCTCGCAAAAGGTTGAGTGTTCGAATCCCAGGCGCCGCAGGGTGACTTAACCGGTGGCACGTGTGTGGTGGCTAGCACGTGTCGCCCCCAGGGTTTACTCCCCGGCTGTCAGCCGTGCGGGATCCCCTGGGTTACCAAAAAAAAAAGAAAAGCTGACCGACCTTAAGGATGCACAAAAATCGGTATTTCACTGGTCATTCAGATGGACGCCGCCAGCCGGAGGTCGTCGGACAGCGACGGTGGTGTTGACTGGTCGGGCGAGGTGAAGGATGTGGGGTGGGGTCTGCGAGATCGAGCGAGAGCGAGGGAAGATTCCCCCCTTTTGCCTTTTATTTTTTTTTAATGTGTGCCCTTTTTCTTCTTACTTTAGCCGCCAACGCCCTGTGTTTTTTTTGGTTCTTCCAAAACAAAATAACCTAGTTCCATCTAGGGTTCGCGTAGCTGCCCCAAGTGGCGGGATCTCAAAGGGGGTGAGCTTCAAGTAATTCACATCCTACGGTGCCAGTGTCGTGCTCCAAATGCTGGATCGGCTCTTGCGATAGAAATTTGTTTGATAATCAAATTCGAGGTACTTATCCCTAAATCAAATGTCTAAAATAATATTAAAAACTTGACAAAATAGTAATAATTTTTTTATTTTTTTTTTTAAAATGTGAAATCCAAGGCCTAATTCTGCACGCCTTTGCTAAATTGACATTCATTACACAATTGAGATATTAACGACACCAATCTAATTTTTGGATCAATAAAAGAAACTCGTCATGATCAGGAATTAAGAATCTCGAATTTTCAAACCTTGACCGTTTGAAAAATTCAGGTGTCACCAGCGTCGATATTAAGAGGACAATATATGTGTTGTATTCAAAATATTTTTTATATCGAATGATCGGCGTTCACTTTAATGATTTTGGACTAACGTAAGATCCAACAAAATTGGTGGACAAATTTTTTCCACACAAAATCGGCATGCGTACTGCTCATGTTTGGGTAGTCATTAAGCATTATTTAATTATTAAAAGAATTCTACTTTTCCTAGAAAGCTGGGACCGGGGGGATTGCTTCTTTCCATGTCACGTTGTAATGCGGAGGATGCACGCGGGGACCCCGGAAATGTTCTCTCTAACTCTTCAAACGTGACATTTCCAGTTGAAGAGTTAGAGAGAACATTTCCGGGGCCCCCGCGTGCATCTTACGAATTACGACGTGACATGGAAAGAAGCAATCCCCCCTCCCCCCGGCCCGGCTTTCTAGGAAAAGTAGAATTCTTTTAATAATAAATAATGCTTAATGCACTGATTTAAGGAGCTGCCACGGGGTGCGCTTTATTGAAGAGTTAGAGAGAACATTTACGCACGCTCATCTAATGATGGTTCAATCTCTCTAACTCTTCAACCAGTGCATTTAAGGAGCTGCCACGGGGTGCGCGGAGAGCGTGCGGGTTGGGTTGCGTGGTGGCCAAGGTATTTCTAGGCGGAGAGAGAGCGAAACAGCACAAAGAAGGAGAGAAGGGGACAAAAGTGAGCTTTTTGCTTTTCGAATTGAATCGTCATTAGATGTATTTTATTATTAGTCGATGATAAGGAGCTTTTTCTCAATAAGCAACGTGATGCACTTTATTGAGGTTAATAGTGGATGTCAAGAAGTTTTCTCTCATTAAACTTTTGCCAGGTAACCGACGCGAGCCGTTTGACTAAAGAGGACCAACATTAAAGAAGCTCAACTTATCACTTTGTGGGGGAAGAACAAGATAAAGTCCACTGGTTAAACGATTTGTGTCGAGCGCACCCTTTAACCGCCCGTCTCCGAGCTGGGTAGGAGTCTGCGATTAACCATCCACTGGTTAAACGATTACGGTTTCAGTTAAAATCCTTGTTATTGAACTCATATCAGCATATCTTCCCCATCACGCCTAAACGGAAGCTTTTCTTGGGCACGAAGGAACTCGGTTCATTTCGAAAAAAAAAAACACAGAAAACAAAAAGAAGAAGAAGAAGAAGAAGGTAGGCCTGTTCTCGTATCGATTCTGGAATTGGTCGTTTCGGTTCCAAACTGATTTTAGGGTCGATCGATTCGGTTCCCTTTCTAAAAATCAGGAACCGGTTCTGACATGGTAGGTTCTAGGTTCCAAATTAATAATCTACCCACTCTGAAACCGATCATATCTAGTTAGAAAATCAGGAAAAATTATCCAAAAAGTCCTAAACCTATTATACGACAGCCAGTTTAGTCTTAAACATTTTCATTGTGCCAATTTTTTGGTCAAAATTATGTAAATTTTGTCCTAAATATTTTGACGATTTATCAATTTAACCATTCCAGCCAATTTTGATCGGAAATCACTGATGTGAATGCCAACCTCCCAGGTGACATGACCACACGAAAATCTAGATTTTATACATGCGTACTGCTGACGGTGGGGTAGTCATTAAGCATATTCAATTAAAAGAAATCTATTTTTACAAGAAAGCGGGGCCGATCGTCCCTCACGACCACCTCCATCCCATCCTTATTATTGGAGAGAGGAGGGGACAGTGAGAGGGATGGAACAAGGGAGGATATCCGAATACCGAGTCAGTCCACTATAAAAAAGTTAGGAGAAATCTGACTGTTTTTCCGCAGCCAAATTGTTGTTTGGATTCGGGTACTAATCCTGGTGCGATATATAGAATCGATCGCGCCGGACCCAAGGACGAGCGGCTGAAGTTCGTGTTATACCGTCGTGTTCGATCGACTTGATCCATAAATCAGCTTTCGCTTTTTGCGAATTGCAATCGGCTCGGCGCATTCTTTTTCGTCCCATAAAAGAGAAAAACGATCTGCTAACACCATCTTGTGATGTATTTTTATTAAGGTTAATAGTGGATGCCAAGAAGCTTTTCTCAATAAACTTCAGCTTTGGACATGGAATACCAACCGCTCTCTGATTTGCTCTGTAGGGTCCATCCTCTCAGTCCTCCGCGAATATGACTTGATCGCCCTCTAACTTCCAAGGAATATATTCTGTTGTCACC